CCTGCGTGCCAGCCGATGTGGCCTCACGTGCCAAGCCGGGCACGCGTGCCGGGGGTTGCCGACCCCTGATCTAGGGAGTCAATGACTTGGAACAAGCATGGAGCCAGTGAATATTGAAATTCTGTATGCTTGTGCTAGGTAGTGACTCTCTAGGTAGTGAAGCTAGGTTGGCTATATGCCTATATATATGTCTATAGTATATCTACTATACCTATGTGACATCATAAAAACACTTTGATTCTCTGAAGTCTTTATGGAGTGCTGGTGACCTTTCTTCCTTGTAACTGTTCACACTGAGAACGCTTTATATGCGCACCCCTATGCTTCAGACAGAACAATCTCAGATCAGATCAGATGTTGATGAAATGAAAATGACAATTTGTGAAAATTTGAAGGCACTGACCATGGCACTTGGTCATGTGGTCTCACCCAAAGGACTGACATTCTGGTAGAGACATCTGTGTCTTTTAGCAGAGATCCTACCTGTACTAGAAATGAGTATCAGAAGCTGCCATCTTGATTCATTTAATCTGTAATCTGTACTGCACCACGTGTGAGCCTACTCCCTCTTCCCTTCTGTGTCTTACTATTGGCCAGTGATGGCAGCATCACATTTAGCAGTCAATAGAGAGATACAGGATGAAGGAGTGGGTGGGCCAATACACCACCTTCCTAACAAAAAGTGAGTGTTCGCATAACAGAGTGCCCTGTGTTACTTATTATAAGTAACATAAAACCTATTTCGCACTTTATTCTTCTCAACCCTTGCACAAGTTTGTCTTAAAGTGCAACTCCACTCAAAAACTTTTTCTGGTAATGAGTTGATTGGGTAAGAGTTAGAACTTCTGATGGATGTTTATTGCTCTCTGTGTGACTCTATTAAGGATATTCACTCTCTTCTTCTGCCCCATTTGATAATTATCACTAGGATAAAACATGAGAGGAAGAGCTAACATTTTGCAGTTGTCATACAAAGATAATCAGAAAGCTCTCAGCAGGGACACAGCAAGTGGGATTTTCCTTCACTTGGGGAGACTCCCTCACAGTTCCTGTTATGACTCCTGGGACAGGTGAGGACAAATTTCAGCAAAGGGGACAAAGGCCTTAATAAAAAAAAGTCCTAATCCTTAATAAATTCACACATCCAAAACAAAATTTTTTTTTGTCTGGAGTTCTACTTTAAGCCTTGTTTTTTTTTTTGCCCTTCATGATTTACATTTTATGCTGAGATGATATAGATTAGAGAATCTCTCTGTAGCAGAGGTGGACAAAATAATAAGGAATTCAGGAGCAGGTCCATCCATTCCAGGAGCCAGCAAGATTCAGTTTTAGTAGTCAACTCCAATGACAAGTAGAGAAAACCTCAAAAGTTAAGCACCAGCTGCAATTGCTATGAAGCATTGGCTACCTGGCAGGAATTCAGAGATGATTTGAGGATCTACAACCGAGTGATACACAAATAAGATACATTTGTGTTAATAGATAAGGTACTTAAATGCATTTTTAAGAATTAACTCCTGAGTTTAAAGTGTGTTTAATGTCGCGTGCCCCCCCCCCCACGTGTTTTGAGTTGTATGTTTGACAAGAATTTTCAGGCTTTTTGTGTACATCTAGGACATCATGTATCCGATATCTTTAATTTTATCTTTATCTTGTTATTACTTTTCTGATCTGTGTTTTTTTCCTAGTTTTCATATCCGCACATTTGAGAAGATGTTCTCACTAACAATGGAAGAACCCTCTGCTTTACGGTACTCTATTTCATTTCCAATGGCCTGCTCTCACTTCTCCAATTACACCCACGAGATGTGCCCAGAGGAGGTGAGATACCAAATTACTTTGTAACAGTAGCAACTAAATAGTCCCGTTGACCTTAACAATCTCTTGTTTTGTTCAGACTACATTGTGTTTACCTTCCTGTGTTATTGTTTGAAGCCTAGTTATCCTGTTAATTATACATGAATTCCTTTTGGTCTCTTAGGCCCCGTTCACACCTTTCCGTTTTGTCGGGCGTTCAACGCTCTATGAACGCTCTACAAAACGTACAACCATGAAAATCCCATTGTTTTCTATGGGTATGGTTCACACCTTTCCGTATTTCCGCCCGTCTGAACGCCCTACAAAACGGCTGACACCCAGACAAGTACATGTACTTCTTTGGGACGTTTTGGAGGGCGTTTTCCATTGGGATACAGCCAAGTAGCCTTCAGAATCGCGCGACGGTCGCGCGATTTTTTTTACCGCGAATCGCGGTAAAAAAACGCGTGACGGTCGCGCGACAGACGTGCATGCGTAATACGCCTAGGTGTGAACCCAGCCTAAAGGTTGAGGATTGTTTTAGATTACAGGCATATTTGTGGTGCAGTTTCATTCTTTTCTGCATAACTTGTACATCACTGCTTGCAGTTCTGTTATAAAGCAGATCATAAATTGCCCAGTCATGGATAATGAGCACCAAATGGGACCCATAAACAGCCAAAGGTGTGTGTGTGTGTGTGTGTGTGTGTGTGTGTGTGTGTGTGTGTGTATATATATAGAGGTCCAACATAACCCTGGACCTAATGCCTATCCTTATATGGACTAAGACTGGGATGCCATTAAAGTTCATGTACA